CTCGGTCCCTTGCCCTCAGATGGAGTCCAGCCCTGTTCCTGGTAGGCACAGTCCCTGTACACTGAGCTGCCTGGCTCTCTTGGTCTCCATGGGTCGAGTCTGCTCTGTGAAGTCATGGTCCCTGGATCTGCTTGGCTCTGCAGGGTCATACTGGGTCCCACTTGCTCAGTCTCCCTTGGCACTTGTTCTCCTTGGAGCCTCCTCTGAGACTTGGCCTTTCATGGTGCTCAGTCCCAGGCTACTTGTACCTGCCTGTGCCTGCTCTGCTCCAGGTTGCCCTGCTGCCTGGCCCCACAGGAGCAGAGCTGGCAGCCCAGGGGCCAGGTAGAAGACCCAGGGTTTGCGGGTGGGATGGGCGATAAGGCTGGAGGCTCTGGCTGTAGCATCTCTTCTACTAAGCCAAGCACTGAAGCAGCCCAGATGATGGTGTCCCTTGGTGTACTGGTGTACCAAGTCCCTTGGGCTTGACATTATTGGCTTCAGGAAGTGATAGAGAAGACTAGGGCAAACCACGCAGTCTCACCTTCATCCTTCCCAACTCAAGCCTGGCTGCCCAGAGCCGGAGCAGGCATGGAACACAGGCGTGGAACACAGGCATGGAACATAGGCATGGATACCTGCCCTGGAGCACAGTGAGAGGGGATGGGGTGGAGTTTGCAACCAAGGCAACCAAAGTAGGTCCCAACTTTCATTCTCAGACGGATTCCTGAGAACAATGGGGCCTAGGAGAAACAGGGGCTGCTTAAGCACTGGGAGTGTCTGTACAGCCAGCCTGGGCCTGTGCTACTGGGAGAGGGTCTCCACCTATGGGTGCAAAGGGACAAATGATTCCCCAGGGATTCCTCCTCAGCTGTGACTGGGGCCCCCATGGCCATCCTTCTCCAATCCTTGAGTTGTTGGAAGAGTCCAGGGGACACCCGGGAGCTGATGCTGGCCACACCCACCAGCCACCGGAGGCAGCCCAGGGTGAGTTCCCCTCTCTGAACCTCAAAGGCTGCCTGGCAGTGCAGACACACTGCAGGCTCCAGAACCAGATCAGATCAGTCCTGGAAGTCGAATCCTTTATTGATCACTGAGATGAAGCCAGGTCCTTCCAGGCCGAGCTGGCCGATGCTTCCTTGGGGTTAGTGGGGCCCTGAGGCCTAGGACTCAGACTCGAACATCTTCTTGCGGCCCTCCATGCCAGACTTCTCCTCGATGTTCTTCCTCCAGTCACCCACGTCGCGCAGGTCCCGTTCCTGGTGGAGTGAGAGGCCATAGCACAACAGATGCCCTAGCCTCAGTTTCCTTTCTATACAGGGACTAGTGGAGCCTCCTCAACGTGGTCCCTAAGGAAAGAGGGGAGCTACCCATGGGAGTGGGGTTCTACCTTCATAGGGGGTGGGGCTTATCTCCATAGGGGCATGGCCCACCTTCTCTGTGTCCTCCTTCTTGACCTGCTTCAGGTTGGCCCGCAGGTCCATGCACACCTTGTGCTTGGAACCCAGCAGCGCCTTCAGCATGGCGTCGGCGGACATGCGCACCCGCCGTAGTGGGGGCCTCTTGAATTTGCCCCTGAGATCAAACAGCTTCTGGTTCATGTCCTCCAGCTGCAGAGGAGGGAGGCCATGGCAAAGCCATGGGAGAGTCAGACGCCAAACCGACCCTCCACCTCCCCACAGTGGCTCCACCAAGCCACCAAGCCCCACCCCCTGGCAGTGGCCCTGCCCCTTCTCACCTCCTTGGTGCTCTTCTGCACCCTCATTTCCATGTCATACTTCTCCTCCTCAGCCACGTCGATCTTGGCATGGAGTTGTTTGCAGAGCTCCTGGGGTGGGGAGGGTGCAGGTAGGCAGCTGTCCTAACACTTGCGGTTGCAGTGGCCCACCCCTGCCCTGCCCTGACCACCCCGCTGGCTCTCTTGAGTGGGGAAACTGAGGCCAAGGGAGTACTGGCTGCAGGCAGCTGGTACCTGCACTTCGGACATGGAACCAGGGATGTGCAGGGGTGGGCAGTGCTCTGACAGGTAGTTCTGCTTCTCCGACTCACGGCGGCCCTCTTCTTTCTCCAGCTCAGTGGCAGCGATCTGGAGCATCACGCTCTGAGGGGCAAGGGGAATGGTGAGAGGCCGCACTGACCTCACACTCCCGCCCTCACCCACCCCTGCACCCCTGCGGCTGCACCGACCTTCAGGTGCTGTCTCCGGGCCGTGATGGCCCTGTTGCGTTTCTGCAGGGGACAGAAGGGACAGAGTCAGGCTGGCTCCCAACCCCCTCTCTCCAGAGCCCCCCAGGCCAGGGGTGCCTGCCTGGGACAGCTGAACCAAGGGCTCCAAGGAGGCCTTGGTCCAAGCCCAGGCTTTACTTCCTCAGCCCAGAGCTTCCCCAGAGATGCAGTGCTCTGGCCTAACGCTTGGCCCAGGTGGCTCTGAGCTGGGAGTGGGGGATGGGACAAGGGAGAGGGGGAGGCTGGAGGTACATGGGGGTGCAGAAATCAGGAAGAAGAAGTGACACTCCTGTGACCAGGCCCCAGCCCCACTTCCTCTGCCCCATAAGGCACTGGGCAGCCACTTCCTCTGTCACCAGTCTCTGTGGGTGGGGCACTTTTGAAGGAGGAGTATCTTCCCTGGGCCTCAGGACCTTGAAGCTCTTCCCTCTGACTTATCCTAAATTGGGAGTCCTGTCCCCTCACCCAGGTTTCAGGTCCCCAAACAGGTACTCACCTCCTCACTGTCCCAGGAGGAAGGATGAGAGGGGGTGGGGAGAGAAGAGAGAGGTTACGGTCATGGCTAGTGGGTAGGGGTAGCCAAGGGTGTGATGGGGCAGAGGGAAGGAAGGGAGGTGGTCAGGGTGGACAAGGGGTGCTGGTGAGGAGATGCTGGGACCCCCCACCCCAGTGAGAGGAGGGAGTGGCCAGCAGGGACCCCACGGGGGGTGCCACTTACTCCCCCATCTTGAGGTCTGGAACTTAGCCTGTGGGGAGAAAGCAGAGGTGTCAGGGCCCGCCCACAGGAGGCCAGCACCCAGCAGGCAGATAGGCTCCCTTGTGCCTTGCCCTGACTCCAGTCTTTTTAGAGGACAGTGTCTTGGAAGAATTCCCCAGAGTAAGAAGTAAGAGGAGAAAGTGTTCCCAAAATGCCCAAGGCAGGGTGAGGAGCTGCAGCTGTCCCTGAGGGAGGGGTGGGCCGGGCCAGCACAGGTGGCTGCCAGAGCAATGCTGATATTTTTAACTCTGTTCCTTTGGCCTCAGACTTAAGTGCATGCAAGAAAATTCTGCATGATGTGGCCGGGGGGCTTGGGTCTTGGCTAGCATGACCACAGACTCCTCTAGCCAGTATCCTAGAATCGAGGTCTGGTCATCAGAGACCTGTCCAAGACCCTTGCCCCATCCTAGACACCTCCCCAAGCTTCTACTTCTCACTCCCAACTCTGCAGAAGCCCCCAGAGAGGGCTGCTGGCAGCGGCCCCCTTGCCCCCAAACCCCTGCCCCAGAAAGTCTTCTGCAAGCTAGCTTGAGAGCACCCTGTCTTCTGGCCTCAATGGGCCAGGCCGGGCCTCACCTAGTCTGGGCAGCAAGGCTGGGAGCGAGGTCAGGCCGGCAGCTGCGAGTTGGGCTGGTGGGCCCAGGGGGAGGGGTATAAATGGCTTTCCCTAGGCTGGGCCCCTGCTCAGAAAGGACATGGAGTCCTCCTCAGACCAATGGGGGCACAAAGAGCCAGAGAGACCTCCCCACCTTCCCAGGCTGCCTGGCCCGGCCCAGCCCAGGCGATTGCAGCCTGCCACTTGCTGCCATCCTGTCCAAGAAGTCTTGATGGGGAGGGTGTCGTGGTTGGGCTGCTCTATTTAGGGCTCAGTGACGAGGTTGAGATAGTCTCCCTTTTCTTGCAAGGAGCCTGAGGACAGTATGTGTGGTTTGCATGTGGGCTTTAGTGGACACAGCTCATTGCCTGAGGAAGGCCCTTCCACTGGAGCCTGGCTCTTCATTGGCCCCCTTTCAGTGTCAGGTCTACCCTTCTGGGCTCGGCCCACCCCATCTTTTTGCTTCTTGCTGGTCCTATGTTTGACTGCTCAAACATTGTCCTTCAGGCAAAGCCAGCACATGCGCCCCCAAACCAACCCTAGGGATGAAACAAACCCCCAAACCTGTTCCCCTGGTCCTGGCACAGTGACCAGGACCCTGGCAGCTGCTCTCCACTCTGCATGACCCTGCCTTCCCACCCTGAGCCACAGCAGGATGGGGCCCCCTAGATGAGCAGCTGGGCTCCTCCCTGGCTGCCACAACACCTGGCCCTCGGGCACCTTCATACAGGCAACTCAGAACATGTCCATCAACCCCGAGGATGGTGACGCTACCACCCTGGGAACCTCTCTGTGAACCGTGAGAGCTTGGGGCCCCTTGTTGCCCTGGCAGGCCCTACATCACCCTTCTCACCCGGTCCTGGGCCCTCACCCCCACCCACCCTTGCAGGCTCCACCCTACAGAGACACTGGCTCGTGACTTGGCACCCTCTCTGAGTGGTGGGGACCTTGGCCCCAGCCCTGCCTGCTCCCCAGCCCGTGGGGATCAGAGGAGACATGAGATGCAGGAAGATTGGAGCCGCTAAAGCCGTCCAGATGTGCGGGGATTAGGAGGTGCATCCCCAGCCAAGGCTGCCCCCCAAAGGCCCTAAACAGCTTCTGAAGGTGACTACTGCCCCCTGCTGCTCATGTTGGGGAGACCTTGTGTTGCTGGTCCCTAAAAGTTCTGGGTCTCCTCCATACACTGTCCCTACCTACAATGCCCCCAGTACCATATATTGTCCCCAAAGCTCCATCTCCTCCTTCCATGCCGTCCCCCACATGTCATATGGGAAGGGATCCACCTCCTGCCTCCTCCTGCTTGGACCCAGAGGGGTCTGGTGGCTCTTAAAGGACAGCAGTCCCATCCAGGGATCAGATCAAGGTTTCACTCCTGGTCAGAGGCTGAGGTCTGATAGGTCTGAAAAGCAAAGACCCTCCCCCAGCCTTTGTGGGCCATGGGGTTGAGGTTGGAACCCTGCCTGCCTATGCGTCCCCACAGGACCAGCAGGATACACATGGCAGGACAATGCTTTTATTACACAGTTCCACAGGTGGCCTCAATGAGTGTCCGTGGCTCTGTCTAGAGAAACTGAGAGCCAGGATGCTTTCAAGGGCGAGGCACTGGCAGGCGCAGGCGGGGCTGCAGGGCCAGAATGCGGTCCACTTCCTTGGAAGGCTGCAGGCAGTGCCACTGGGTGATGGGTCGCCGAGCATGGGCCAGCATATCTGCCCAGTGCTGCAGGGGCTGGCCAGAGGCCCGGGGGCCGAGCAGCACCTTGCCCAAGGGCTCAGCCCGGAGCTGCAGGCCCCGGACCCAGACAGCCAGTACCAGGTCCACATTCTGCACAAGAACAGGCCAGTGTGGGGGAGGAAGGTGAGGTCGGTTGGGTCCAACGCAAGGTCCCGCCCCTCCCTGTCCTTCCTCCCAGCAGCCCACCTGGACCTGGCTGAAGGGCACCAGAAAGGTGAAGGCCTCGTTGAAGTAGGGGGCAGTAGTGCCCTTCTTGGTGGATGTTTTCTTCTTCTTCCACTTCTTCTGGTTCAGCATGAGCTGGACCTTCACATAGGGCTCTGGGCAGACAAGAGTGGATGAAGGACATCCAGGGTCTGAGGGCTGACAGAGCCCCAGCCCTCCATCTACCTGAGTGGGCAAGAGTGGCTCTCACCTGCCAGCTCTGAGCTCAGGCCTCGGGCTTCTAGCACAACCACAGTCAGGCAGCCGGAGCTGGGCACGTACCTCAGTGAGAGGCACAGCTCCCCCATCTGCTCGGCCTGTGGGAGCAAGAAGGCTCTCTGGGAGACTCCTCCTTGTCTGGAGTGTTACAGTCGCCAAGCTGCCACGCTGAGCCTCAGTCTCCCCTGAGGTACTGGAGAAAGGGTCCTACTAGCTCTGCCCCTGGACTGCAGCCTCACCTCATTGGTGCCCGGTGGGCCCAGCTGGTACCAGTGCTCCATGACATGCTGGGGATCCAGGGTGCCCAGTGGCAGGCACAACTCCCCCAGTGGCTCATGCTCTGAGAAGCGCTTGAAGTCCAGCACCTGCACCTTCAGGGTGGCACTGGGCAGCTCTGCCGGCAGGACCTATGGGCATGGTGCTGAGCCAACCATCTTGGCTCCAAAGGCCACCCCCTCACTGACTCTGCCCGGGACTCACGTGGAAGGAGCAGGTCTCCTCAAACACGGGGCAGAGTGTCCCATGGTGCACCTTCGTCTCGTGCCTGCGCCCAGCCTGCGTGGACACGCTGACACGGGCATAGGGGTCTGCCATGCCCTTGGCCCTCAAGTCAGCCGCCTGCTTCAGACCCACCCTGATCTGGGAGCCAGCAGTGAGCTCAGCCAGCAGGCCTTTCCGGTCACCTCCAACACCCTCACACCGCCCATCACCCTCCATTAGCCTCAGTACTCCAAGCCTGCTCTGGGGGTCCCCACCTCCTGGCTTCCAAAGCCATACTCCAGAGACAGCTGTATGCGCCCCCACTGCCGAGGGCCCCCCAAGCTGGAATCCACGTTCTCCACATCTGGCTGCACCTGGGTTGGGCAGGGACAGGGAAGACCATGTGTTCTTATCAGACCTCTGGGATCCCAGGCAGCAAGTTCCAAGATGTAGGCCAAGCCACCCTCCTTCAGGTCAGGCCACTAGAAGGGCTCACATCCCTTGATCAGCTCTGTGAGACTGGCCAAATCCCTCCACATGTGTCATCTGTTGCACTGCTGTCTTCCTTAAGAACCTGCTGTGACATCGCTTCTCGGCCTTTTGGCTAAGATCAAGTGAAGAACCTGCTGTGACTCCCAGTGACCCACTAACCAACAACTGTCCTTTTTCTCCCCCCAAGACAGGGTCTCACTATGTAGTTCAGGCTGGACTTGAACTCACCATGTAGCCAGGCTGACCTTGAACTCATGGTGATCCTCTTGCCTCAGGCACCCCAGGGGCTGGGATTGTAGGTGTGCACCACCATGCTCAGCCATATGCCCTCTTTTGCAATGCATCCTCCTCACCTCTGCTCTTCCTTTTCTCTTGCCAGGAAGGTCCTCCTACCCCTGCTTATGGATAGATCGGACTGTCCCTGGGCAGTGAGTTTGTCCCTGATTTCCTGGGCTGCCCTGAGCTCCAGAGACTAGAATTTGCATTGTCCTCTCAGGACTGAGCCAATGTGGAGCTGCTCCTCACCAGGTGGGTGGTGGTGCTGCTGCAGACACTGCCCAGGCCCATAGCCACCTTGTCCTGGGGCTTCTTCCTGTGACGGCAGCGTTGGCAGCAGCAGCAGATGGCACAGAGCAAACAGGAAACAGCGAGGACACCAGCAGCAAGAGCAGCAACAATGAGTGCCCAGTGGGGCCCTGGGGTGGGGGCATGGGAGGCTGAGATGCCTCTGTGGAAATCCCAATCCCCCGCCCAGCCAGGCCATCCCCACATCCCTCTGACACTCAGGGTCCTGCCACTCACAGAGGATCCCGGAAACGAGGTCTGGAATGAGCCCAGGCATGGCTGTGGTGCCAGCTGGAGTTGGGGTGCTTTGAGGATCTGATAGGTGACCCATCTTCCTGCTGGCTTGGAGGAGAAGCTCATGGAGGGAGGCCAGGTCATGAAGGTGGTGGCTCCCCAAGCTCTGCCCACTGTTTTAACATCCTGGCAGCAGCCAGCACAGTGTATGCTTGGGCCAGGAGGCAGCCCAGGATGGCAGGCTGAGGGTTCTGAGCCCAGGAAGCCAAGGAAGGGAGGTGCTGGCTTGGCGAAAGCTCCAGCTTAGTTGTCATGGGCCTAGCTCCTGACAACCTCCCCCAGCTCCCAGCTCCATCCCCAGCCACGTGGGCCAGGCTTGGGCAGCCTGGACTCTGCCTCACTGTCCCTCCTCCCTCACAGGAAATCCTTCTTCCAGGAAGTCCCTCGCTCCCCGCCTCTCCCTCTTGGGCCCTGGCCCTTCCTCGGGCCCACTTCACCCATGGGGAAGCTCCTCTCTCCATGGCTCATCACGTGCCGCTTTGTCCAAGGCTAAACACGGTTCGCAAGCATGCTCAGGGTGGACCTGTCCACTGTCGTCCCAGGCCCAGGAGGACCTGGGAGGGACCCAGGGGTCCGGGGACAGACTGGCTGTGGGTGGGTGCTCTTCTGAGCAAGCCTGGGCTGAAGATGTGTTTCTGGCATGGGTGGGCACTGGGCCAGCTACACCTGGGGACCAGGGCAAGGTGGGGGCAGGCAGGGGCAGGGTGCAGCCGGGAGCGGCCAGAACATTCCTCCTCACTGACTCAGCCACCTGCCCAGACTCGCCTGCCTGCCTGCCCTACCGGCCACCCTTCACATGTGGGTGGGAAGTAGGGTGGGCAGGAGGGCAAAGCTGCCCTGGCTCCTGCACCCTATCTGCCTGGGGCCTGGGAGGGAGCATATCTGACTGGGCTGGCTCCTCCCACCCATGAGCAGAGAGGGCAGGTTCCCAGCTGGGCACTGCCGTGCATTGTGACCCCAGGCCCAGGGAAGGCTCTCAGGTTCAGCCCTTCTCTTCCCCTTTTCCTGGAGCAGCCTGGAGTCTGGGTTCCTAATCTTCCACTTCTGCTACAAGACCTACAACCCTCTGCAGAACCATCCCCCAGATCCCCAAGCCCTCACGATTAGTAGAAGAGCTAGATCCACGCATGCTGCTTCCCCCAACCTGGCACAGAGCACAGAAGAAAAGAGAGGGACCCCATAACTTCACAACTGATCCCCACTGCTGCCTGATGGATGATCAGAGAAAGGGGCAGTGGCTCAGGAGAGGGCCATCTCTCCTGCCTCCCTCCAGGGGCCTGTGCGGTTTCCAGTAGACTGAGGCTAGAACCCAGGTGCCTAACTGTGAGGCTAGCAGAGGGGCCAGGCCTGGAAGTATTACAGAGGGGCCAATGTGGGATTTAATGCCTGCTGTTGCCTCTAGAAATTCCTCATTTTCGAACAAAAAGAGGCTTTTTGTCATTCTGTACTGGGCCCCAAATATCATATAGTTCATCCATAATTTTTCAGGGGGCTCTTTGAGAAGACCCTGACATGGAGATGGAAGGTGAGCTTTCAGGCTTTGGCAGTCCCTCTGTCCATGGCCTTCCTTCCTTGGGTCCAAGGGTCCTGCAGGGCCCCTGGATGCAGGTCTGCCTCCCCTCCCCCACCCACACACACAACCTGGCCCAGCTGGGGGGAGAAATGGCTCCCTCAGTGAAATGTCAGATCCTAAGTGCATTTTGGAGTAAAGTAGCTTCATTCAAGATTTTATGGTTGGAAATTGGGATATGTTGCCAGTATGGTCTCTTTCTGTGTGAAGACATATGTGCATATGGCCCTCCCTGCACCCTGCCTGGCCTCATCCCACCTCAGGCACCTAAGAGTAGGTGGGCTGGCCCTAGAATCTGGATTTGGTGTTACAGGTTGGCAGGATTCCCAGGCTGCCTGGAGAACTTGTCCACAAGGACCTCAGGTGCTGTCTGGAAGCTAGCCTTGAAGTATTCTGGGGCCCTGGGGACACCACAGCTTGTCCTGGGGAGCTCAGGGTCCCTTGAGACCTCTAGGTCCTAAAGGTTTGGCAGGCAAGCAGCCACCAGGTGGCACTGTCTGCCTCATTGGTCTTCACCTGCCAGCAGCCTTCACCTCCACGGGCTTCTGGGGAAAGTGCCCAGAAGCCGGGGCAATACAGGTACAAGTGACAGTGGGCTCTCTGGTTCCCGCCTCACCCCTGGGACACTCTCAGCTGTCTTCTGGCAGCACCTCTCTTGCTTTCTGACTCTGGCGGTCAATTTTCCCTGGCCTACTAAAGAAAACCCTCTCTGGTAATGAGCACTGCTCTTCCCAGGAAAGGGAAAGAGGTATCCTGTCCAAGTCGCCCTTCGTGCCACCCCCCATTGCTCTGTGAATCCATCTCTGCTCTGAGCTTCTAGGCAGGGCAGCTGGCTCATTCCTGCAGCTTCCAGGCACCTCCTAATCCCATTCCCTCCACCGGGTCCCACTCACCCTCAAGGCCCGTATGAGCCTTGGTTCCTCTAGCAGCCCAGTGCTGTATTGCACTCTGGTTCCTCCCAGTAGGGAACCCAGGCAAGGACAGGTGCTCAACTTGCCACAGGCCTCTGCGGTTCGGGTGCCTGTTCCGCCCAGTCACCTTTGAGTAGTGGCTGGGTCTGTCTTCCCAAGCCAGGCACTTTCTACTTTCTAGTTAGTTCTGCTAAGTAGTTCCTTCCACTGCCAGTCTAACTGAGCTTGGGCTCCAGTGGAGCTTGGGCTTCAGTGGGAACAATTTTCTGTGGGCCCTTCCTCTTGAAGAGCAGGCCCCTAGGTGTGGGGTGGTGGGTCCCAAGAGTGTAGCACCTCACCTGATGCCCACGGCTCCTATGGCCAGCCCGCCTCAGGCCTTCCTCTCAGGCTCTGACCACCAGGAGGCTGGTCCCGCTTGGAAATGGCAGCCGGAACCTGGCGTTTGCTCCGTCTCTACTGATTAGGAGCATCTCAGTAGGAGGGGGAGAGTGGGAGGCTGGGCTTCAGGGAGCCCCACCTCATGGCCGGAACTGCTGGTCCTCAGGAGCCAGGAAACTCCCCTGTGAGGAAAGTTGCCCTGAAAGCAGAGGGGTGGCTGGGCTCTGGCCTGTCTGCAGGTGTGCTTGAGAGGTGAGGGTGTCATGAGCCCACCAAGCTTTATGAGAGTGGGTGATAGGCCCATCTGGGAGACCTTTGCAAAGGGTGGACTTGGCTTGCACCAGCTCAGCACACCACACGGGCTGAGTCATGGCTGCCTGGCCAGAAGGCAGCCTCCTGGCACTGCAGGGTCCACCAAAATCAGGGGGAGGGGGTAGTAGCCAGGCAGTGGAGCTATAGGCATTCTGGCCGGGACAACCCTGGGCAGTATTGTATACTGTTCTGTTCTGGAGGTCCCATGGCCTCTGGCTGGGTTGATCAATTCCTTCAGCCTTTGGTTTTCCAGGGAGCAACCCCTTATTGGGTGGCCCTTGAGTTGGTGAGCATAAGTCCTTTTTACAGCCTAACTTCAATGCCTCTCACTTAAGCTGAGTCCTGTCCAGGAACATGGGCCAGGAGCCCAGCTCCCCCACTATGTGCCAGCCAGCTAATCTGGTCTGGTCACTCTGGGACCTAGGCTGGGGCGTCACAGAAAACTTCCTATCTGCTGCTGGAGGTCAGATCTAGGACTGGTTAATGCTTAACAGCAGAACCTGTTACTCCAGAACCAGGCCTATGTGAGCTGAGAGGCCCCCAGTTCAAAGGAGTTTGGTGGGGGGCAAGCAGGTGGGATATATAAGCTCACTTGTGCATGAATGGCCTGTGAGCTGTTCTGGGCACAGTATGGCACAGTATGCATTTACCCTACTATACCACACAAGGATGGGTCTGTCTCTCAGTCTGATCCAACCAAGGTGAGAGGGATTTAGAAGTAACTAAAACCAGGGGGGCCAGGAGCCACCTCCGCACAGCCGGGGCCACCTCAGCAAATAGGCATCTGTTCCTTGGGATACACACAGACCGAAGAGTATGCTGAGCTACGTGCTCTGTGAGTAGTAACCCCAGCCAAGCTGTGCAGGAACTTTTTGCTTCCACACCATAAAGGCGCCTCCATGGTGAGCTGGCGTCTGAGGTTCCCAGGGAAGGATCGAGAAAACCAAACAGAGCTGGCAGCCTGCAGCCAAGCCCCGTGGCCAGCTCTGTGGCCCCAAGACAGTGGCTTGGCAGCCAACAGCCCTATGGAGACCCTGACAGGGATCTTGGATGAGGATTCTTCCTTTGAGGGTGTCTGGGGAATGTTTGAGGTCAGAACACACAGCAGATGTTGGCTGGGGAGCCAAGAGCTCCTGGCCCCAATTTGTGAGACATGCTGGGTCAGACGTGTGCTCTCTGCCTGTGCTGACCCACTGTGCATTCCGTCTAGCCAGGGCACTCCTTCCTCTGTGCCAGGGAAGGCAAGGACAGGTGCTCAGCTTGCCACAGGCCTCTGTGGTTTGGGTGTCTGTTCTGCCCAGTCACCTTTGACTTAGCTGTCTATCTGTTCTTCACCTGGGGCCCAATCCCCAATATTCAAGGATCTGAGGAAACCTGTACCCCATCATTCAAGCGTCTAAGGAACCTGAACTCCATCACCTGATATCCAGGGAGGCTATAACCCATCATTAGGGCATCCAGAGAAGACGTACCCCTTCAGCTGAGACCCAGGGAGGCTGTATCCAAATACCTGGGCCTCCAGAAAGGATGTATCCCATCACTTGATACCCAGGGAAGCTGTATCCCATCACTTGGGCATCTGGTGAGGCTGTACCCCATCATCCAAGCATCTAGGGAATTTAATTTGTTGTTGCCTAAGAATCTTGGAAGCTTATTCCAAGAGTCTATGCCCCATCATTGGGTCATCAGGTGCCTGCACTCCTCTCTGAATATAACAATGTGTTATGGGTTTCTTAGGTAAAAGGCCCATATTTGGAAAATGCCCATCTGGGTTTCAGGGATGTTAACACCATTCCTTGGAGCTTCTGAGTGAATCTTTCTCTTTTTAGGAAGTCCTGGGGCACATACCCATTGTCTACTACATGGAAGGCACTTGCCAATTCACAGCATCTCCCAAAGGCCTTGAAGACCTGGGGTTCAGAGCCTCATTTCCTTCATCTTGTGTAAGCACCACTCACTTTGTCTGGGTGTCCCTGTTCATCTGGGGGACCCCTAGAGTCAGCATCTTTATCCTACAATTGCAAATACCTGGAGTACCAGCCCTGATCACCTGAGTACCTGTGCAGTCTTGTTAGTCTGGAAACAGCAACTCTCTCTTCTGTGGTCCCCTGGGTCTTGGAGAGCCCATACCCAACTTGCTGGGTCGGCTGAATTCCCCCATTGACATGTCCACATGGGCCTGTGTGCTGGGCCCAGGGCCCAGGGGGCAGCGCCCCTTTCCTGTGGTTTTGGACACACTGTCTCATCCATCACACTGCTGTGTGGGCCCCTTTCACCCTTGTCTGAGTTCTCTAATGTGCCATTCATTCAGGCACTGGGCTGCTTGCCCACCCCAAGCTGCTCGGGTATCTGGGTCTATACCTGTGCCCAGATGAGCTGACCCCCCCACCCCAGGAGTGACAGCAAAAGATCCAGAGTCTGGCTCCTGCGCTCCACTTTTCTAAGTGTCAGAGTCTCTGTACCCCATCAGTCTAAGTGTCTGGGCCCCACATCCCGCTTTGCTGCTGATCTGAGTTGTCCATTCATTGTTTCCTTGTCTTCATCCTGTCGTCCAGCAAGCCTTGCAGTGTTTGCAGTCTGTTGTTGAAGCTCTGTGGCCAGTATCCCATTCCTTGGAGAATCTAGTGGGTTCCCTATCAACCTTCCTAGACATCTGTGACCCTCAAGCTCTCCTCACCTGAACACCAGGTGACTACACACCGGAGACCTGGTAGCCCACTTGTCTGAGTGGCTAAGCACCTTGTACGCTCAGCATCAGGCTATCTTGGTTCTGAGAGCCTCACCCTGGGAGACTCAGCTATCACATTCTCCATCTGAGGGTCTGGCTGCTCAATCTCCAGCTGGAACCCCACTAGCCTGTGTCTGTATGACTCGGGATCCTGAGATATCTTGTCACTTGAGGCTGGGCATAGTGGCATAATTCTTCCCCCTTCCCCAGGTATCTGGATACCTGACCTCCTTCTGAATGAATGACCATGTGTCCTCATCTCCCTGGCCTAACTGCAGCCTGGACCCCTTTCCTTGGACCCTGTGGCTCAGACCCAAGTTTTGGTCCTTGCTGTTCTGTGTGTCTTTGACCCATTCTTATATCTTTGTGAAGTCCTGGGTAATGAGGATTTCAAGATGTCCTCCGCACCCAGTTCTTGGGGGTCTCTGGCTGGCCCGGATTGCCAGTATCCCCACCCTCAGAGTCCTGGCTAACATGCGCCAAGCCTCAGTCTCTTTCCTCAGAGGATTTGAGCAGCAAGTGCCCATTCATCAGGATTTTGGCAGCCACCTCACACTGCCTGCCTCTCACATAGCCCCACATCCTGGGGTGAGGGCCCTGGGGCCAGTTCAAAGGACCACTGAGTCCTTGGAAGCCCACTGTCCATTCATCACAGTGGCATTATGGTTGTGTGAATCCAGTCATGCTTGTCTGGATCTCTGTGCCCTATTCACACCTGGCACCAGGCTGGCAGCATCACCTTCTAGGCATGGGGGCGGGTTGTGCCCCTTCTCAAGGGATCTAAAGTTCCCACAGTCTCAGGAACAGCTGAGGGATGTGAATGCCACTGACCCACAGGTAGGGTTGTCCTGTACCCTATTCATAATTATGAATATCCTTGTGCCTTCTGCCCACCAGATCCAAGTGCCCGAAGGACATATTCTTTGTGACTACCCAGATGCTCAACTGGGGAATTGGGGTATAGTAGCTTGCACCCCACTGTAAGTGCATGAGTCAGGTATACCTATGATTTTGAGTATTAGATATACTCTTCCCCATGCATGCAGTGTCTGCCTCAGCTGCTTCATCCCAGGCCTCACGTGGGTCCCTGTCCCAAGTCAGTGCTCCCCGAGCCAGTTCCAAGCTCCACTGCATCTGTGGATGCTCGGAGCACCCATCCCCCACCCCCCACATTCAAGGCTGTCTCAGCCACAGTGAGCCCATCCATCCTGGCTGGGCCTCTGTGCCTTATTCATGCACAGGTCTGGGTAGACTGCACCCATCCACCGCCTTCTCAGAGACAGTCTGTGCATTGTCCACCCCCGTTCCAGGAACAGTTGCTGTGCAGCCAGCAGGCACATTCCAGGGTTTGGGTGAGAGCCAATGCAAACCCTAGCCTTGCTGGTGCTAGCACCAGGCTGGGACAAGAGTGGGACTGACAGAGGGAAGGGTGGTCGTGGAAGGAGAATGGAGAGCCTCAGTTTTGAGGCATGCAATCAAAGCCTTCCCTATGTGGACAGTGCCTACCAGTCAAGGGGACGTTGGATGTTGGGGTTTGCCTCTGTGACAGAGCATGTCCCCGAGTGGCTGCCAGCAAGAGTGGCCCTATGTATAGCATAGGAGGCACATGCCAGGTCCTCTGCCACAGCTGCCACCACACTGGTCAGCACAGGCTGGGGTAGGATCCCAGGCAGAAGGAGGTAGAAGAGAGTGGTAAGAATCTTGCCTCTGGTACCACTGGTCACTGCCCTTCTCTGATCCTGAGGGGCACCTGCCCCAGGTCCACTCTGGTTCCTAGAGGGTGGCCACTGGCTCCACCTCCCTTGTCTCCAGACTGCCTGTTCCCTGGCTGTCAGAAGGTAGACAGGAATAAGTTTGTGACCTTCTTCTGCCTTAGGGATTCCCAGATGTCACATGGGACACCAGAAGCACCTGTGCAGATGAGGGGCTGGGCCCCCAGCCTCGGGCATGAGAGACAGAAGAACGGGGTGACAGGCTCTCCAAGTGTGTGTGGCCAATCACATGGACTGGGTGCTGGAGGTGAGAGACGACTGTGTCTGGTGGGAGCTGGTTGGCTTGG